GAAATGCAGCTGACTTGCATGTTGACTTCATATCCTGCATTGTGCTGAAGCTATTCATCAGCTCTAACAGGTTTGTTTGTGTTTTTGTGTGTGGAATCCTTAGGGTTTCTACATATATTCTATCATCTGTGAACAGGGATAATTTTACTTCTTTCTTTCCAATTTGGAGGCTCTTCTTTTTCTTGCCTAGTTGCTCCAGCTACCACTTCTAGTACCATGTTGAATAGAAGTGGTGAAGATGGGCACCCTTGTCTTGTTTCTGATCTTAGAGGAGTAGCTTTCAGTCTTTCATCATTGAGTAAATACTAGGTTTGTTGTGGATTTTTCATACGTGGCTTTTATTATAGGGAGGCAGTTTCCTTTATTCTTACTTTACTGAGTGGTTTTTTTTTTTTTATCATAAAAGGGGTGTTGAATTTTGTCAAAAGCTATTTCTGCACCTGTTGAGATGACCCAGTGGTTTTTCCTTGTGTTCTGTTCATGTAGCACATTACATTGGTCAATTTTCATGTGTTGAACCATTTTTGCATTCCAGGAATAAATCCCTCTTGGTCATGGTGCATTGTTCTCTTAATATGCATCTGAATGTTTGCTAGTATTTTGTTGAGGAATTTTACATCTACATTTACCCAGGGATATTCGTTTGTAGTTTTCTTGTGGTGACTTGGTTTCAGGGAAACGCTGCCCTCATAGAACTAGTTAGGAATTGTACCCTTCATTTCAATTTTTGAGAGAAGCTTGGGGCTTACCACTTGTTCATTAAATGTTTGGCAGAATTCACCAGTGAAGTCATTGGGTCTAGGCCTTCCCTTTGCCGGGAGACTTTTGAACACTGATTGAATTAAAGGTCTCTTCAAATTTTCTTTTCTATTTTTTTTTTTAAAGATTTTATTTATTTGTGGGTGCCTGGGTGGCTCAGTTGGTTAAGTGACTGCCTTCGGCTCAGGTCATGATCCTGGAGTCCCAGGATCGAGTCCCGCATCGGGCTCCCTGCTCGGCGGGGAGTCTGCTTCTCCCTCTCCCACTCCCCGTTTGTGTTCCCTCTCTTGCTGTGTCTTTCTCTGTCAAATAAATAAATAAAATCTTTAAAAAAAAAAGATTTTATTTATTTATTCATAAGAGACAGAGAGAGAGAGAGGCAGAGGGAGAAGCAGGCTCCCCACTGAGCGGAAAGCCCGATGTGGGACTCGATCCCAGGACCCTGGGATCATGACCTGAGCCGAAGGCAGACGCTTAACCATCTGAGCCACCCAGGCACCCTCAAATTTTCTATTTTTGGATTTGGTCTTGGTAGGCTTGGTGTATTTTTTTTTCTTTCAAGTTTTTATTTAAATTCCAGTTAACATACAGTGTAATATTAGTTTCAGGTGCAGAATTTAGTGATTCAAGGTTTTGTATTTCTTTGTCCGTTTCCCGTAGGTTATTCAACTTACAGCATGCAGTTGTTCACAGAGTGCTCATAATCCTTTTTGCTTCAGAGGAATCAGTAATAATGTCCCCATTTTAATTTCTTACTTTAATGAGTCTTTTTTCTTTTCTTAGTCCAACTAAAAGTTGGTCAATTTTCTTGATCTTTTCAAAGAACCAACTTTTGGTTTCATTAATTTTCTCTCTTTTCTGTTTATTTCTGTTCTAATCTGTATTTTCTTCTTCCTGCTCACTTTCGGTTCAGTTTGTCCTTTTTCTAGTTCCTTAAGGTGTGAAGTTAGGTGGTTGATTTTAGATCTTATTATTCAACATAAGCATTAATAGCTATACACTTCTTAGCACTGGTTTCGCTGGATCCTGTAAGTTTCAGTATTTTGTATTTTCATTTTCATTCATCTTGAAATATTTTCTAATATCCCTTGGGATTTCTTTTTGAGCCATTGGTTGTTTGAGCGTCTTAATTCCCACAAATAGGGGAATTTTTCAGTTTTCCTTCTGTTAATGATTTCCAACTTCATCCTTCTGTGGTTGGAGAAGTATTTTGTATGATACCAGTATTTTTAAATGAGACTGGTTTTGTGGCCTAACATATAGTGTGTCCTGGAAAATGTCCTTTGTGCACTTGAGAATTGTGTGTACCTGGTCCCTGGGTAGAGTGTTCTGTGCATGTGTTAGATATAGTTGGTTTATTATGTTTACATCCTCTTTGCTTCTGTGTGGTGGCTCTATACATTACCAGGAAGGGGCGTGGAGGTTTCCAGCTATAACTGTAGAACTGTCTTTTTCTCCCTTAATTCTTAGTTTTTACTTCCTAGAATTTGGTGATCCATCATTAAGTGTGCATTTATTTAGAACTTCTTGCTGTCTCGAGCCTTGTATTATATAACTGTTTCATGCAACCTTTTTTTTTTTTTTTAATTTAAAGTCTAGTCTTATATTAGTATAGCTGCTCCTCTCTTTTGGTTACTATTGACGTGGAGTATCTCTTCCCATGCTTTCACTGTTTTTGTCTTTGGATCTAAAGTGAGTTCCCATAGACAGCATATAGTTGGATCATGTGTTTTTATCCATTCTGCCAATCTCTGTCCTGACTGGAGAGTTTAATCCATTTACATTTAAAGTAATTACTGATAAGGAGGGACTTATGTCATTTTGCTATTTGTTTTCAGTATGCCTTAACAGCTTCTGTTTCCCATTTCTTGCTTTCCTTGTCTTTTGTGTTCATTTTTTTTTTTGTAGTGAAATGTAATTCCTTTGTCATTTCTTTTTGTGTATATAGTGATCTTCTTTGTTGTTACTGTGGGGGTTACACTGAACATCCTAAACTTAGAGCACTTGAATGTGTTTTTATCCAGCTCCCCTTCAGTAACCTACAAAATGCTACAGCTCTGTCCCTACCCCTTTCAGTTGCTGATGTTACAAAATTATATCTTTATGCATTGTGTGCCCCCAAACATAAATTAATAATTCTTTGAAATGCATTAGTCTCAGATTAATGGAAAACAAAATGTGGAGTCACAAAGCAAAGTTACAGTAATACTGGCCTGTTGGTTGGGCTTGACTAGGGGTGTGTTTTTGCCAAGCAAGTAGAAAGATGGGCAAGAGAATGGAAATCTGGAAGGGAGGAATGATTGCTGTGCCCATGAAACCAATGCTGGGAAGGAGGGGGCTTGGCAAGAAAGTGAGGAGGACAGGGTTTTAAAAAATGACAGGTTGCAGGTCTTAAAGTATTTGAAGAATTGTGGTGGTGGGGACATGGGAGTAACGCACCGGCAGGACATCAGAGTAGAGAACCTAAAGTCAAGACTCCAGAGGTGGCCGGGTCAGGGCTGCTGCATGGGTCTGGAAGAGGAGCAAGTGGCCAAGAGGAAAAGCCTTCAGGGAGGGAGAAGCTGAGGAGTGAGATGCGGGGCATCAGCTGGGATGTAAATGCCCAGGGAGTGAGGAGAAGCCACACGGAGGTCAGAGGTGGCCAGCTTCCGTGTAGAGGCTGTTACCGGTAGCAGGCCTGAGGGCCACAGGGATTGATGCTTTTGAGGAGACAAAGTGGTTTGAAATAGGGAAACAGAATGAGCCTCCACTTGGGACAGCTCGAGGGAATACTGTTGGGGGCGGTGAGCTGTGCTTGGAGGCGGCCAAGAAGCTGAGCCCTCCCCGAGGAGAGGTTGCACGTGTCAGGGTGTGTTCAGTACACACATGGACGTGAGGCATGGGCGCTGGGACATTCTGGAGCGTGGCCAAGACAATACCGGCTGTGGGCTTGATGTGGACAGTCCCCCCAGTTTCTCCTCCACCTTGGGCTAGGGGAGCTGGGACCAACACGCAGCCCGAGCTTAGTTTTCTTATCTGTTCAAATACATAGGAAGGTGCATGCTTCATGGGGTGGGAGTGAGGGGTGGAGGGTGGGAGCATAGGGTTGAGAACGCTGGAGGCCACAGCATGTGGGTCGAGTGCTGTCCACACACACATCCTTAACGACCAGCATTTGTCCTCCTCCCATGTCATCGGTCTGGAGGGCACCCTCCTTGGAGCCCTGGTCAGATCCCCCCCAGAGCCAATGGTAGGAGTTTCACAGAATGACCTCACACCTGGGCTCTCCTTAACCCAAGATTCCTTTTCTCCTCCGTTCCCTTAAGTAGGTCACACAGGCAAAGTCCCTGGCTGTGTGGTGTGAGTTTTCAAGGCAATGTCACTTGGGAGGGGTGGGGAAGGACAGTGTGGCATTTCCTTCTCATCCTCCAGCTAAAGCTTAAATGCCACTTCTGCTGAAAGCACCCCTTGGCCTCACCCCATGGTTCTCAACGAGGGACTGTCACTCAGGAGGTATGTGGCCAAGTCTGGAGACCTTTCTGGTGGTCACAGCTGCACGGTGCTACAGGCATCCCATGGGTCGAGACCAGGGACACTGTAAACATCCTACGAGTGCCCCCCGCCCCCAGCGCCACGTACCCACTGCCCAGTGTCGGCACGGCCACAGGGGAGACACCCTGGCCTCTGTGGTTCAAACCAGGTCCTGGCCCCGTTCTAGGCTCCCCAAGCCCGGCTTATTCCTTCGTGGCACCTAACACAGGCTGTAATTATGGCGGTGGCTGACTTCACAAATCTCTGTTGTCCACCTGTCTCACCTGGAACTTAAGTGCGAGACGGCCGGGGTGCCCTATGCCCACTCCAGGCAAGATGCCTGGTATACAGTAGGTGCCCAGTAACTGGATGAGTAGGAACCTGTAACAAGGGTTTTTTTCTGTACGGTACTTTGAATGTGCATCTCCAAGTTCTACAGGGCTCACAGCTCACAGTGGGATTTCTGCTCCTTTCAGCTCCAATCAAACTGAGGTTGGTCTAAGCCAATGCTGTTTTCTAGGATCTCCCATGAAATGGTGGATGAGCTTTCTGAAAATTTTTACCATGTGTGTATTGAAAGTTGCACTCATCCCTAATCGCTAAAAAAGAATGCACAGAAACAGACCATCAGTGGACTATCTAATTTATAAAATGTGACCGTTTTTATTGTCATTGTAAAGAGGTGTAGCTCAACCAGATTGTAACAAAATTACCACAGCTTATTCCAAAAGAAAATTTTAATACAAGAGATTTTAGAAAATTAAACACATTTGTTTAAAAATTCTATTGTGTAAACCTTAACATAAGAGGGCAGTTAACATAATACTACACGTTTCGGAGCGAGTCTGTGGACTGCTAGGCCCCACGTACGTCCAGACGGTGGACTAGACTCTCCATGTGTTGCCATGTCCCCCCCTCCCTGGCAGAGGGCTCACAGGGACCCGGTCAGCCAAAGGGGACTCTTCCAGGGAGGATGGCCTCCCTGCTGGGACACCAGAGGGCTCCTGCATTCACCGGTCTCCCTCCTCCAGGAAGTCCATATCTGCTAAGGTTAGCAAAGAGTTCTACCAAATGATGATGCCAGCAATGGTGAAACTAAGGCTGCGGAGGCAAAGGCGTTCTTTCCAGGCTGGATGCTAGATAAGAAAACATCCTAGTGAGCTCCACCAGCCCCTCACTCCGGGAAATGCGTGTTCTCCAGGCTCCTTTCAGCAACTTGGTGCAAGTGTGCGGTCTGCTGTTCTGTATCCTTCTGTGGCCTCAGTCCCAATTTTTGCAAGGGCCTTCCCTACATAGTTTCTACTGAGGGTAGAAAGAGTCTTTCAAGGTGAACGAGTGGGCTCTCCGTGTGCAAGTCAGGAAAGCAGGAAGGGGACCCGATCAGGCTCCGAGGAGAAGGGTGCTACCTGGGCGTATCAGCTAGTGGTTTTCCAGTCATGATGGAGAGGCACGCATGTGCCCTAAGAACTGAACCCCTGGACCTCAGAACAGTAGTGCATTCAGCATGTTCTGTGGTGGGGTGCTCCTCCATGCTGTAAGCTCAACCGTCCTTTAGAGAAATCAGATTTTATATTTTCCTGTAAAGAAATGGATTGAGTAGATTAAGTAAAGCCCATTCACCGTGGTTGTGAGGATTTAGACACACGGAGAGGCTCCTTGCCCTCACGGAGAGCTGTCAACCGCAGGTCTGGACACCACAGTGGTTCGTGGCTGAGGGGAAGGTGAGACACGCGGGGTTGAGCTGAGCAGGTGCATCTGGGCAGCAGCAGCTGAGCCCAGAGCCAGTCGGTTGTGAGCACGCCCATGCCCCCCCCCCCGATCCAGTAGCTGGTTTTATTTTAGAAACCTAATCAAAACCACGTGTTACAGAAACAGGAAACTGAACTTTTTGGCACAGAAACGTTAGATAAAATATACAGTGCTACAATGGTGCGAAATGAGCACAGAAGCCAAACCCAACAGCAAATATTGAATGTTAGCTTTAATGAAACAATGCAAAATATTTAGAAAAATGATGGTTGTACAAGACCTTGCTCCTGAGCAGATGCCTGCCTGCCGGAAGCACCCTCTGCCGCGGCCCGGGCTGGGGACAGAGCCCAGCGTGTGGGGCACGGTCCCGCGCCAACCACAGAGGAGAAAAAGGTCAAGACAATTATTGCCTTTGGGGTTGACATCGGGCAGGTGGTGTGCCCCTTCTGGGATGCCTCTGCGCCGGTCTGATGTTCCTGGGCAGGTGGGGCCCTGGCAGGGTCGCTCTAGGCTGAAAATGGAGCCTGTCCTTTGCCCTCAGTTCAGCACCCAGGCAAGACGGCCCCTCGGGAGTGAGGTGCCTCCCTGGGAACGAGCTCTGGTGCATCCAAAGGCACCAGGCTGAGGCATGAAGGCTTCTGGAGGAGACTGGTGGGGCGGGTGTCTGTGGGGACAAGGCCTGGCCTCCAAGTGGGGGGGCAGGCCGGTTCCCCCGGTGAAGGTGAGCATGTGGTGGTGGTGGGGGGGGCGGGCGTCGAGGCCTAGAAGCCTGCGCCTCAGGTGGGTGAACTTTCCCATGTGGAGCCGAGAGGGCAAGAGAACACTTGGTGCAGCCCGGCCACAGAGACCCTGGTTCGGGGCGCGGGGAAGCAAGCAGGGTGGTTTCTGATCAACAGGGCTTGCTGGCAGCTCTCCGTTCCCGCTTCCTGACTCGGGGCCCACACACGCGATGCGTTATTAGGCTCCCGTGCCGGTTGGCTCTTGGCATGAGCTGCAGCTATCAGTCCGACGACTGTCAACAGCTTTGATTGCCTGTCGTTTTTAAAGGCACAACCCACACCCCGCCAATGCTGACAACTTGGAGTGGTCAGCCAAGAACTCGGGAGGTAACCAGCTGTGGAGCAGAGCCCAGCACGTAATAAAATTGTCCTCCTGTCCACAGACCCCCGCCCCTAGCCCTCCCTCTCTGTTCCTGTCTCAATGACTCAACGAGGTGATCCCTTTGTAACCAGAGCCCTTGGGTGTACCTGAGTAGTGGTGCTAAAGGTGACCATCATGGGAGAGAATGCCCTCTCCCGGGTGGGCCCCGCCGCCTTCCTCGGGTGCCAACTTTGGAGGCGTCAAAGGATCTTACTGGATCTAGGAGATAGGAGCAACTTCTACTGGTTCTTTCTGTTGCACTGTGTTTATCTCTGATGGGTCACGGGGCCGAGTGGGTGTCATGCAGGGCAAGGGCCAGCCAGCCCTCTGATTTGGATTCAACCAAAGGGCAGCAGACGACATGGACATGGGGAGAGGGTGGCATTTTGTGCATCGGGTCTCAGTCCGCACCTGGCTGGGCCTGGGTCTGTGGTTCTTTCTCCAGGAACTGGAGGCCCACTGCTTCTCTGCATCCCAGCATGCCAGGGAGCAGGGTGGGGATCTGGAGCAGCGATGGAGGTAACCACTGCATAACATTCTGTGACTCCAGAGTTAAGGCTTTGAGGAGTGGCTGTCATGTGTATGTCACATGCGGATCTGAGCTGAAATGAGGGGAGGTGGTCCGTATGCTGACAATGGTTCTAGGGTTTCTGCTCCATCACGAAAAGGGGGTGCATGTAGTAAGCAGCCTGGACGGGCTGTGTGTGGTCCCAGGAACAAGCTTTTCCATCTGCGTTTCAGGAAAGCAGGGCAAGTTTTCCATGAATAATTAAGCTTTAAAAAATAGAGTTTCTTCTTTTGTAAATACAGGCAGAGTATGTAATTGTTTCTCAAGGCTTAGCATCTGTCCGTCGTAGTTCTGGGCACTTTTTTTTTTTTTCCTTAACCTCTGCAGAATGTCAAAGGAGGTTCCTGGTGGGGATTTTGGAGAAGGTGAGGTCAGACTCACACTCAGACATGTCTTAGGCCCGGTGCCCAAACAGGCTGCGGGAGGCTCCACTCTGTATCTGCTGCCAACCCTGCTTCCCAGACTGAGGGGGAGCAGGAACCTGCCCTGGGGAGGCAGGCCTGGGGCAACTCATCTTCACCCGGTTCCTGCCTGCCAATGGGGCCTGCTCAGAGATTGGGGCGGGGGGGGGGGCAGAGGGACACACACTGAGAGCACGGTGGGGGGGCAGAGGGTACAGCATGAACGTGTCTTTAGGGAATGACCATGATCTGGTGCGAGTACACACTGTCCGAGTTCCCAGGGAGCCCCAAGTTCGGAGTTCTGCAGGGCTCCGGAGTGCGGTCTGCAAGCCCGAGGGCCTGTGGCCTCCTCCATCGTAGTTCCCAGAACAGAGTCTCTCTCACAACCTTGAGGCCTCTTGGCTTGTAAGGTCAAGGCCCTGGAATTCTGGACAGCCCAGGGCCCGCCAAGCCTCACAAGGTGCATATGGGCCCAGGCGACCTCTGGTTTCCTACAGGGGCTAGTACTTCCAGAAGCCAACCTCAGAAGGTTGGGGGAAGTGCTCTATGCACCCCAGTTCAGGGTCCTTAGTAGCTCCTTCACAAGGAGGCCACTAGCTTCCTCGAGGAGGCCACGTGAGCTATCACTGGCCACGGATTCTACAACCAGGGGGTTTTAGGGCCCCTGGTAGAGAGTAAAAGGGGAAGGAACGTGACCTCCCCCCCAACCCCACGTGGCCATAGGTTACAGCAGGCAGTTATGAAAAAAAAAAAAAAAAAACCCAGGGTAACAGTCATTCTAATTCCCATGTGGAAAAGAGTCAAGAGGTGGTCTCTGACCCACCTCAGAGTTGTGCATCTCCACCACGGGGCTCTGCGCTCCCCCTGGTGCCCACCCTCCTGCCGGCCCCTGGGCTGGAGGAAGAGGAACGGGCAGGCCCTGGGAGGGCGCCCGTGTGTCCGGCGAGCAGCCGCCTTGCCCTCTGAGACTGCCCAGTTTAATCAGTGTCATGGGACTGGGGAGGAAGGTGTGCTCTCGGGGCTTCACCAGTGGCGGGGGGCTCACTCCAGGGTGGAAGGGGCCGGCTGCTGGGGCCAGGTCAGATGCGGAGTGGCTGGGTGGAGGCAGCTGGTGCGGCACATAGGGCCCAAGTCTGGGATTCGGCGGAGGTCAGAGGTCGCCGCTCTGGGGCTCCACGTTGCGGGTCTCTCTGGGGTGACCTCGGGACAGCTTGGGGAAGCGGGAAGCCACTTTGGGCCGGGTGTTCTTGGTCAGCGGTTCTCCAGGAGGGGTGATGTCACTGTGGGATAGAGCAGGGAAGAATCCGATTAAGTCAGGGCGTCCAGCAGGGTGTGAGAAGGGCAGGAGTGGTCTCAGAGGGGACAGATGCTCCCCAGCTCTGACAGGTGAGCGCAAGGGGGGCCAGGGCTTTCTTCCCCATTGTCACTGATCCGTGCCCTTGCTGGAGGATCAAAGAAAACGCTTTGGAGAACATTGCATTTAAGGTCAAAAGAGGTGTAGCAAAAAGGGGGGGGCCTTCTTGTGGAATTCATCCTAAAAGAATAACCAGGATGTAGGCCACCGTCTAATTAGAAGGACGTTCCCATGCAAAAGAGCCAAAAAGAGCACAACCACTCCGCAGTCCAACGGAGGGGATGACCCACCTGGGTTTTAAAGGGCCTGCGCCCCGGGACAGTGGGAGCGCTACGGGCCGCGCTGGAGGGGGCACTGAGCGCCCAGGGAGGACGGACGAGGAGAACCCGAGATAAAATAGGGTGTGGGCCCCTGCCAGGCGTTCGGGAAAACCTGCGGGAGAAGGAGGTTTGTCCCTTCCTTCCATGCCGTTCTTGAGCACCCGTGTGGGCCGAGCCCTGTTGGAGCCCCTGCAGATGGCAGCCACGAGCAACACCGCTTCTCCCAGGCCTGGTGGAGACTTGCCGGCCACCGGGGAGATGACGTTACCGGTGGGACACGTGATGAAGGCAGCCAGAGCGTCCCTGGGCAGAAGGTGCCCGAGAGCGCTGGTGGGTCAGGTCAGGAGGCCCTCGATGCAGGAGGACAGGAGGGAGGCCTGTCAGGTGGTCCTGGCTGGGGCCGGGGGAGGGGAGGCGGTAGTCGTCTAAAGTGACCCCTGCCTGCCCTGGGGAGAAGGGCCTGGAGGGGTCTGGGCTGTGAACGCAGAGTTGGTGAACTCTGTCTTATTTCCTACAGTTCTTGTAACAAATGACCCCACACTTAGTGGCTTGAACGCCAAACGTACCGTCTTGCAGTTGTGGGGGACCTTAAGTCCAAAATGGGTCTTATGGAGCTAAAGTCAGAATGTTGGCAGACCTGGTTCCTTCTGGAGGCTCCAGGGGAGAATGTTTCCCTGCTTTTCCCCGTTTCTGGCCACCTGCATTCCTCTCCCTCATACCAGGACCTTCGTGATCACACGGGGCCCACCTGGGCCATCTGCCTTTTTCGAGATCCTGGACCACACCGGCCACACCCCCTGTGCCAGGTCAGGGGACACAGAGGGTCCAGGGACTGGGGCATGGACATTCTTAGCGTTATTCTGTGCGGCACAGAGATTGGAACAGTGGAATCAACAAGATTTGGTATTTGAACAACAATGGGCTCTAGAGCTGGCAGAAAATACGAGTAAGAAATGATAACTTCTACAAACAATATCTCACTGGGACAAAACATGTCTAAAACACCAAGCTGAGGTGAACCTCATTCTCGCGTCTCGAGTGTCCCTGCGCCACTGACCTTCCAAACGTGTGGCCCCCAGACTGTGCCAGCAAAGACAGCCCCTCTGTCGATGAGCACTGAGGCTCAGCAGTACCCCGGCCACCCAGGGAGTAAGTGGCAGATCCAGAATCGTCCAAGCCCCTCCAGACGAGTTAGGGAATGAGCCACATTAAAAAAGAAATTGCCCCTGCCTCCCGGGGTCCCCGTGGGTTCCGTGGGACAGCCCACTTCCTTCCCGCATCTCAGCAGTGGTTCTGCTGACAGGGGTCGGATCTTTCCGCCTTTGCAGGGACATGGCCATCGTGCTCAGCAAGATGCCCCTTGTGGTGAGTTCAAGACAGCATCTCACTAACAAAATGAGAAACTCCTCTAGTGACGATCTCCTCCCCCCGAAGTCCGGCTATGCTTTGCGTCCTGTTCCTGGAGGAGCGAGCGGTACCGTCCAGCCGAGAGCAAGTGGGAGCTGCTCCTCGTTCCCACCATCCGTCCAGGTGCTTAGCTGCATGGTCCTCCTTCAGAAGGACACCTGGCCGTAGGCTACTGTTTCTTCTCTCGAAACTACCCAAGGTACCAAAAGCCTCTTTACCCTGAAGGCCCCTTACAGGATGGGCAGAAAATGCTGGAAGGCCTCACCCCTCACACTGTGCAGGAGGCCTTGGATATAAATGTCACTGGAAACCACCCCCTCCCTTCACTAGTCAGGATCCAGAGTGACCCCAACTCGGAGGCTGTCACCCTCGCTGGGCATGACATGCCAGGTGGGCGTGAGTCCCACCAGAGCCTGTCAGGCCCCAGGAGGGAGAGTTACAAGCCAGTCAGGACAGTTTGTTTTTCCACAGGTAGCACCTGCGGAGGTGGAGGTGGCCTCGCCCTGAGCCAGAGCCCAGTCCTGCCACCCAGGGGCTGGGCGCCTTGCTCGTCGGGCGCAGGGAAGGCTGAGTGCGCGGCCCTCAGCACGCTGCGGGGAGGAAAGGGGCCTGAACCCCACGTAAGGCCACACGCTGGCTGCCTTTCTTCAGGCAAGTGCCTGGTTCTCCTTGAGCCCTGGCTTCCAAGACAGAAGGAAGATGGGGCTGTTTTGAGAGTTCAAGGGAGAGTCAGCCCCTCAGACTATGTGAGCTCTGTTGTTTGATACCGTGCTGGACAGACGGGGGCCCACAGCCTCACTGGGGATGGGCAGCACAGACCCCGGGACAGACTGTTAGAGAGGAGCTTGGTAGTTGCCCTGACGGGGTAAACACAGGGTGTTCCGAGCAGGGTGCGAGACGTGCTCATCACGGTGGTTACAGGGCTTCCTGGAGGAGGAAGAGCGGAGAAGGATGAGCAGGACAGAGTTGTGTGGTTCACCGTGGCAAGGGCCCTGTGCTGGCTGACCTCGCCAGCTGCTTCACCTTCCCGGAAGGCAGGATTGGCCACACAGGTGGACCGCCATGTCACTGAGCTGATGCTTGGGGACTCTTGAGTGTCACTGCTGGGGCTGGGGGCCTGACCATGAAAGTAGCTGGTACGGGGGGAGGGAGAGCTCCATCCTCAAGGCCCCAGCAAGCGGCGACAGTGAGCCTGGCCGCCGTGCTGGGGGAGATGGGCAGAAGCTGTTGCAGTAACTCCCATAAACCCAGAGCAGTGGGGGCAGCACGGAGGCCCCTGGAGTTGAGCTGGTGGCATAGGGAGAGGGTCAGGGGGACCAGGGAGCCATAGTAATGACTGGGTGGAGGTTAAAGGCAGCCGGACAAAGAGCTGCCAGCCCAGGGCCTGTGTAAGGCCCCACCCCAAGGAACTCTATGGGTTTTTTAGGTCAAGAACTATCCAACAGTTTCCTGTACCCATTGGCCATTTGCGTGTCGTCTCTGGAGAAATGCCTACTCCAGTCCTTAGATGGCTCTTTAATTGGGGAAATGCACATCCAAACCACAGGGAGCTCTCACCTCACACCTGTCAGGATGGTGATTCTCATAAAGCCACCACGTTTTGGGAAGGAAGTTGGAGCTTGGAAACCTTGTACACTGTCGGTGGGGATGCAAGATGGTACAGCTGCTAAGGGAAACCACGTGGAGCTTCCGCAAATAATGACAAAGAGAACTACTGTATGATCCAGCAATCCCAGCTCTGGGCATTCCCCCCAAAGAATGGAAATCAGGATCCTGAAAAGGTATCTGCACCCCCATGTTCACTGCAGCATTATTCACAAGAGCGAGGCCACAGAAACCAGCTAAGAGTCCAGGGACAGACGGATGGATACAGACAATGTGGTGTGTACATATAATGGAATCTTATTCAGCCTTCCAGGAAATTCTGAGCTAAGCAGCCCCATGGATGAACCTGGAGAAGATTATGCTAAGTGAGCTCAGTCCGCAGAAGCTGTAAGTCTGTGGGATTCCACCTGCATGTGGTGTCTAAAACAGTCCAACTCCTAGAATCAAGAGTGGAACTCTGGTCATCAGAGTGGGGAGTTACGAATCAGCAGCACAAAGCTTCAGTTACTCTGAAATCCTTTCTAGAGCCCTGCCGTACAACACTGTCCCTGTCGTCACCGAGAACGTAATACCCACCCAGAAGGTAGCGGGTAGATGTCATGTTCTCACACCATATGGTTTTTTGTGTGTCTAATACTGGCAAGTGAATCGTAGCAGAAGGCGTGAGCCTGTGGGTACGTGTCACTGGGAGGACAGAGCGGGTGGCGAGCTGGGAGCAGGGGCTGAGCCTGCTCTGAGCGGGCAGAGGTCACTGGTGCCCCGGGGCTGGGCACAGGCCATTCCAGGGAGGCGGGAACAGGTGTTCGCAAGGCCAGCCTGACATCAGGGAGATTTTCTTTAACTGAGGCTCCCTCGAGCCTCTACTGTAGCCACTGCCTCTGTTGCGGTCCCAGCTCTGTGTCCTCAGAAGGCAGTTCTCTCCGTCCTGGTGAGCCGGCGACCGTTTGCTCCCTGGCCCTGGCGATAGAGGGCGGGCCCCCGAGAAGCCAGCTGTCACTGCTCCGGCATGGCTGTGTTGTCTGATAAAGTGGGGGCCCGGGGGCTCGCGGGAGGGGGACTGAAGAGCAAGGTGGACCTACCTTCTTGATCCTCCCGCCTCCGTCCTGAGGTCGGGGCCGATCTGCCCCCTTCCCCAGACGAGAAAGGCCCCGCCTCCACCCTAAGCAGGGATGTCCTCCATAAACCATGTGAAGCACTGGACAGGACTTCATTTTTGGAGTCCAAAAACCAGGGTTCATTCTGTTAGACACTAGAGAACCCTAGGGGAAGGTATGTTACCTTCCCCTGACTCAGTTTTCTGATCTGTGAAATGGGGATGCTACGGGTCTTTCCTACCATGCGTGAACCATTCAACACCTATTGATTGAGTCTGCTGCCCTTCGAGGTGGATGTGGCGCGCTCAGGGCCCCAGACAATGGAGCTAAGAGTGCAAGAGCACGAGTGAAGTCCGGCAAGCAAAAGCTTCGGCACTTTGGCAGCAAGGAACCGGGTAGAGGCTTTTACAAAGATTTTGCAAAAGACCAAACTATAGTAACTTCAACCCCTGCCATCCTCCACTCCCTCCCTCTGTCCAACCTGGGGGAGGGGGGAGGGA